CGCCCCTTCCTCCCCCCACCCCCACCCCACCTGTGTCGCAAGCAGAATGGAAACCAGCTGGGGTCCAACGGGTTCCACTAGGGCGGAGCTCAGTCAAACAGGGACACGGCTCAGCAGGGCTCCCCAACTTCCGGGGGCCTGTCGCGTGGCACGTGGCCCCCTGGCTCTCTTGGTTCATAGCACACCGAGGCAGCTCCGCTGTTCCCAGGCTTTGCATCCTAGCACAGTATCCTGTTTCCATTCCCCCGGCTTTTTTTCCGGGGTCCAACGGGTTCCACTAGGGCGGAGCTCAGTCAAACAGGGACACGGCTCAGCAGGGCTCCCCAACTTCCGGGGGCCTGTCGCGTGGCACGTGGCCCCCTGGCTCTCTTGGTTCATAGCACACCGAGGCAGCTCCGCTGTTCCCAGGCTTTGCATCCTAGCACAGTATCCTGTTTCCATTCCCCCGGCTTTTTTTCCCTACTCCTGGCTGATGAGGCTTGAGACGTTTTTGTGCCAAAGAAACTTAGGTGAGGTCAGGCAAACTTCCCACGCCTCTCCCGCCTGCTCTGCCCGGTGCTTTGCCATCAGCCACCGGGCCAGGGAATCGCGCCTGCGCAGAATTTGGCTCCTCGTGCAACGTGCGCCCGCCGGAGATTAACACCTGTGCTGCTGCTGCCTGAAACAGCGCTAGGCCCATCGCGGGAAACAGGCCCTTGGACTGGTGGCCTCCTCAAGAGGCTCGTCTCTGGTTGTTTTTAAATAAATCCCAGGCCCGTACGCAGGCGTTTGGGGAGGCGAGGGAGTGGGGTGCTTTTCTTGGACCGCAAGGCTGTGAATGCACCCCCATGATACCCCAGGTAAGCGGGGAAGACAGCACCAGCCTTCCCCTGGCTGGCTGGGGGGGGCTGCTTTTGCATCCTCCACACCCCCCTGCGCATGGGCCTGAATCTGTGGGCTGCGGAGGTGGGCGTGGCCCCAGGACGAGGGGGCAGGAGCAGTGGGAGGAGCCAGCTGTACAACCGTTCTCCCATTGGGGCGGCCGAGGGATGGAGCCACACTGGATGACAGCTGGCCCCATGGAACACGATGTTCTCAGCGCGTAGGAGGCCCCACAGCGAAGGGTCCCCGAAGGCCGTGGACAGACAGATACCGCCGCTAGGTAGCGACTCTCAGCCTTGGCATATCCTCCCGCTCGTTTCCTATCCCCCGCCCAGCACTGTACCACACAGAGCCAGGGCACCCTGGCGACTAGCTCACAGGTTTTCTCTTCAGGCGACCCGGTGCTGTCTCCAGCTGTTAGCCTCTTCGAGGCCGAGGACAAGTCCATGCTTCACTCTGTGCCTCAGTTTCCCCATCTGTTCAATTAAAATATCCAGGGGGAGCTATGAGGTGCAGGTGCCAGCACTGGGCTGCACGGTAACAGTGACTGTGACTGTACGAAACGCCCAGCACCACAGCCGCAGAGACGCTCAGATCGCAGGCGTGGCTGTGGTCGCGTTAGACCCACACCTGCCCACACACCGGCCTGTGAGCCAGGGTTGCTTTGGCCACCGGGGGACACTGTGGCCGGATGACAGCTGCACAGCAGGGCCCTGGGCAGCCAGCAGCCAACGCTGCCACTGCTGAGGGGTTTCCGCTCACGCCTGGACTGCACGCGACGGCAGCAGCTCGCAGCCCCAGGAGGCCTGCACGAGCACAGCGCTGACGGGGGGAGGTTTGCAGGGTGACATATGGTCCCTGTGTTTTGATGGCAGCCGTGCTCATGGTGCCCTGCCTTTCCGGAGCCGCTCCATGCTGCTGCTCTGGGGAGCTGCCTCCCCCCAGGGACTCCGGCGGCTGGGCCCGTGCTCGAGTGGCCTCGTTAGCGGGACCCGTGGTGAGACTTCTCCCCGCACTGCTTGTGCCTCCCAGGAGCTGTTGACATGGCAGCCGACAGGCTGTGCCCCCGAAGAGCCTCTGGCTAGTGCCAGGGAAGGCTGGGCTGGCTCCCAGGCCGCGGTGCCTGAGGTCCTGGCTTCCCTGAAGAGAAACATTCACATCTGCAACCCGCCGTAGGAGAACTAGTCTCGTCCAGGCGGCTGCTGGGTCCCTGGGTTTCCCCTGCAGCCTTCCGTGCGGGGAAAGGAGCAGCCCTTCCTGCTCCCCCTCTGCTTCGCCTTGAAATCCCTGGACCCGCTCCGGTTTGCGAGCTGGGAAACCGGCGATTCCAGGCCTAGCGGCTGCAGACCAAGCCAACTGTGACTATGGGCCCTGCCTGCGTTCACCCCCCTACTTCGGAGCATTAGCAAATGCACAAAGGGAGTTAACGTAAACGGGAAACGTAAACAGCCCTAGGTTTGGAGACGGGGGGATTCTCTCCAGGGCCGCTTTGGGACCAAGCGCGTCTTTTCCACTCCCCCCTGCCCTCCCCATCACAGTCAGCAGCCTAGTGCCTGCCCACAGGAGCAAGGCAAGTCCCTTTGCAGCTTGGCTGCACTCGCTGGGCCTTGCAATCACTAGGGAGAGGGCTCCGAGGTGGAGATTCCAAGGTCAGAAGGGCCACTGCGAGCTCTTCGACTGACCTCCTGGGTAGCACTGGCCAGAGACCAGCCCTGGAATATTCCCTGTTTGAACTGCAGCAGATCTTACAGACAGACCTCCAGGCCGCGTGTGCGATTTGCCCGTGACGGAGACTCCATCTAACCGGGGATAAATTGTTCCAATGCGGAATGACCCTCGCTGGTAACAATGCACACCCCTGAGGCTTACTTCCAGCCCCCATCTGTCCTGCTCCAACTTCCAGCCTTGGAGCTTGTTAGGCCTTTGCATGGCCAACAAGCCCATTCGTAAACAGCTGTTCCCCACCTGGGTACTTAGAGACTGTGATCAAGTCACCCCATAACTGCCCTTGTGTTAAGCTCAATAGGCTGCGCTGCTGGAGTGGTGGGTGAAGAGCAGGTTTTTCCAACCCCTAATCCTTCTCATGGCTCTTCTTTGGACCCTCTCCAATTATTCAGCCTCCTTGAATCGTGGGCACAGGATTCCAGCTCCTGTCACACCAGGGCCAAACACAAAAGTAAAATAACCTCTCCGCCCCAATGCAAATTTCCCATGTATGCCCCCAAGGATCACCCTTTAGGCTGGCAGCTCATGTTGACCTGGAAATCTTTTTCAGAGTCGTTGCTTCCTAGAATAGAATCTCCCAGCTGGTAAGCGTGGGCGCCGACTTATTTTTGTTCCTAGATGGATACCTTTATGATTGTGTCTCTTAAAATGCACATTGTTTGCTTGCCTACCCTTGTGATCCAGCTCTCTGCCCTCTGTGTTATCGACCAGGCCCGGACAGCAAATGGTATTAGGGATGATTTAATCATAGAATCACGGAACACTAGAACTGGAAGGGACCTTGAGAGGTCGTCGAGTCCAGTCCCCTGCCCTCATGGCAGGACCCAGCACTGTCTAGACCACCCCTGACAGGTGTCTGTCTAAGCTGCTCTTAAATATCTCCAGCAATGGAGATTCCAGAACTTCCCCTGGGCAATTTATTCCAGTGTTTGACCACCCTGACAGGTAGGAAGTTTTTCCTAATGTCCAGTCTAAACCTCCCTGGCTGCAGTTTAAGCCCATTGCTTCTTGTCCTGTCCTCAGAGGCCAAGGAGAACAATTTGTCTCCCTCTTCCTTGAGACGCCCTTTTAGATACTTGAAAACCACTATCATGTCTCCTCTCAGTCTTCTCCTTTCCAAACTAAACAAGCCCGATTCTTTCAATCTTTAGTCTTTCCTTCATAGCTCATGTTCTCTAAACCTTTCATCATTCTTGCTGAAACAAAATACAGGACGATATAGCACTTTAAAGACTAACAAGATGGTTTATTAGGTGATGAGCTTTCGTGGGCCAGACCCACTTCCTCAGATCAAATTGTGGAAGAAAACTGGCACAACCATATATACCAAAGAGATACAATAAAAAAATGTGACCACATATAAAATTGACAAATCAGATTTTAGAACAGAGGTGGGGTGAGGAACTACACACAGGGAGTCGTCATGGAGCAAAGGAGTTTCTAGTGGGGATTGGTTCTTGGCCCTACACTATTTAATACTTTTGTTAATGACCTGGAAGAAAACATTAGGGCTATGTCTACACTGGCGGGTTGTTGCGCTGGAAGTATGAAAATGAGGCTAAGCGTGGAATATTGCTGAGCCTCATTTGCATATCTAATGAGCTCCCATTTTTGCAGAAGAGGCTCTTGCGCCAGAAGGAGCTGTCTACACTGCCCCTTCTTGCACAAGAAAAACCCTCTTGCGCAATGCCGCTACATTGATTATTTTCAGGAATAACGGCATTGCGCAAGAGGGTTTTTCTTGTGCAAGAAGGGGCAGTGTAGACAGCTCCTTCTGGCGCAAGAGCCTCTTCTGCAAAAATGGGAGCTCATTAGATATGCAAATGAGGCTCAGCAATATTCCACGCTTAGCCTCATTTTCATACTTCCAGCGCAACAACCCGCCAGTGTAGACATAGCCCTAATGTTTTCTTCCAGGTCATTAACAAAAGTATTAAATAGTGTAGGGCCAAGAACCAATCCCCACTAGAAACTCCTTTGCTCCATGACGACTCCCTGTGTGTAGTTCCATTATGACACCTGGCCATTAGCCCCATTTTAATCCATGGCTGTGTGCCATGTCCATGCTGTATCATTTTCTAGTTTTAATCATCAAAATGTTGTGCAGTACACAGACAAATGCCTTACCGGAGTCTCATCACAACACGACACCCTTCTCAAATTTGTCATCTCTAAAAAATATCAAGTTAGTTTGACAAGTTCTATGTCCATAAGCCATGTTTATTGGCATTAATCGTATTATCCGCCTTTAATTCTTTATTGAGTCATGTATTAACTGGTTCATTATCTTCCCCATGAGCAGCCAATATTATCTAGTGTGTCCCATTTACCCTGTTAAATATTGGCACGACATTCCCTTTCTTCCAGTTTTCTGCAACTTACCCGTTCTTCCAAAAGCCATGATAAGGGCACGACTGCTGAGCCAGCTCTTTTAAAACTCTTGGCTGCCTGTTATCCAGATGACCTGATTTAAAATGTCCAGTTTTGGTAGCGGCGGTTTAACATCTCCTGTGTTACTACTCCAGTGGAAAGTGTCAGCATAATCTGGCCTCTGCCATTTGATACTGAGTAGAAATATTATTGATCACTTCTGCCTTCCTGCATTATTATTGATAACTCCCCCTTTCCAGCCAGTAATCTGTGCTAGGAATCCCTTTTGTTCCTGAGAACTTTAAAATCCCCTTTTTATTGCCCTTGCTGGGCACAGATTTCTCCTTTGAGCCAGTCTGTGCCAGTGTGGCATACATTCTGATGAAGCCTTCAGTGCCTTTGGGTCCCTGTGGGCCAGTACCCCTCCCCCCCAGACACCGAATGTCACCATTGTTGACTACTTCACCAATGGCAAAGGCATGGCAGAAAGGCGAGGAAGGTTGATAACATGAAGATCTGCTCAATCTCCTGTGCATGTCATCTCTGCCATCCTGGGGAAATCAAGGGCAAGAAGCCCAGTGGGATGCGTGGTATCTGCCCAAGACGGGTGTGGGGTCCCGGTGAGGAAGAGCAGAGTGCATGGAGACCAGAGAGCCTGCAGGCAAAACTGTAATTTGAGCATCTGCACAAACTACATGGGCACCATCTCAGGGGCAGAGCTTATTTCAGGGGCAGAGCTTGGAAAGGCACCTCAATTGGCCCGACTGTACCATTCTCCTGACAGACAGGTCTGGCTCATCCTAAGAATGTTTTCCTAAACTTGGCTAGCGGCTGTAGCAAAACTAGGAGGGCTAGTGTGCCAATGGCCTTTTCAGCCTCATGTTCCACAGCTCTGCAGCTGGGCCTATTGAATGCCTGCCTATGCTGTTCTTGATATTGCTACCACCTGCGTTAGCAGCCCGGGGACACTTTAAAGCAGCCACTGTCCTTACAATCGGAATGGCTTGTATCAGGCATCTCCATTTGGCCCAGACAGACACAAATATTTCCATCACACCAGACAAGAATAATCAGTTAATTAACACAGCCAATGCACAAACACACCAGAGCACGGTCTTATAACCTGGGCTCTCTCCTCCTGCAGAGTTATGAAGGCTGTGCCAGATTCTCAGCTGCTGTGAATTAGCATTAGCTCCAGTGATGTCGATTCCAGCTGAGATCCAGATCCTCGGAGTAATTTGATGCACGATTACCCCCAATGGGCTTGTTCAGCTACTTTTGTGCGTCAGGCCAGGGGGAGGGGAGAGAGAGAGAAGTCAATGCTTGCAGAGAGACACAGGCTGGGTTTTGAACACTGAACAGGTCATTTTCCCTGAAACTTAAAAATAGGTCTACAGGACACCCCTCTGTTGGAACACCTACATCGCTCAGCCATGTGAAACCCCCCCGTCCTGCCAGCCCTGAGCAGCAGTTTTACTGACTCCACCGGTGTAGCAGTGCTACCTGCACATGATGACTGCTGCCACCCACGGTTGCGACTGATTCTGTGGACTGAAGCTCTCCCATTGCACAACAGCAGCTCACTAAAGTGCTACAGACACACATGAAAAAACCAGCCCTGTAGTCACTGAGGGCTGAGTCCGGCTTGGGGGCCTCTGGCCCCTGTCCGCTCAGTGCTGCTAAAGAGAAGAGCAGCTCCCTGCAATGAGGCTGGAGGGTTGTTGTCAAAACGGCCCATGGCCTGAAAACCACGTGTGGATTTCTAAGGGCAGCATGCACATTGCCAGCAGCCAGTGCCTCGCTCAGCCATGCATCTGGCTGCTCCCATAGCCCAACCCCAGGGGGACTGGATCAGAGAAGGTCATGCTTGGAGACACCATGCCCAGCTCTAACCACTAGACCCCACTCCCCACCTGCAGGGGAGGGGGGGCAAGCACAGAGCTGGCCTCCCCCACTCTAACCACTAGACCCCCCACTCCTGCAGGGGAAGGCAGCAAGCACAGAACCCAGGCCTCATTACTCTAACCACTAGACCCCACTCCCCACCTGCGGTGGGACCAAGCACAGACCTAGGCTCCCCCCTCACTCTAACCACTAGACCCCCCCTCCCGCAGGGGGAGGCAGCAAGCACAGAACCCAGGCCTCATTACTCTAACCACTAGACCCCACTCCCCACCTGCGGGGGGGAGCAGGCACAGACCTAGGCTCCCCCCTCACTCTAACCACTAGACCCCCCTCCCCTCCCGGGCTGACTTACTCCTTGGTGAGGGTGATGCAGGTGACCTCGCCGAGCGCCCGGCAGGTGGCTGTCCGGCGGATGTTGCTGCGGAGAGGAGGGAGGCATGAGGGGGGCAGGGCGGGGGGCTTCCCTCATTACTGTAACCACTAGACCCCACTCCCCACCTGGGGGGGGGGCCAAGCACAGACCTAGGCTCCCCCCTCACTCTAACCACTAGACCCCCCTCCCGCAGGGGGAGGCAGTAAGCACAGAACCCAGGCCTCATTACTGTAACCACTAGACCCCACTCCCCACCTGGGGGGGGGGCAAGCACCAGACCTAGGCTCCCCCCTCACTCTAACCACTAGACCCCCCTCCCGCAGGGGGAGGCAGTAAGCACAGAACCCAGGCCTCATTACTGTAACCACTAGACCCCACTCCCCACCTGGGGGGGGGGCCCAG